TAAATAAAATATCAGTGCAAAAGTCTGGCAACTTTCATGCTTAAGCACTGAACTAGCTTAAGCATTTTATTGCATACAAAAATGAAATAAATATACGTTGAAAATACGGTCCGTCGCTATGATCAATTCTTTATTTTTCATCTTTGAGAAGCACTTAAATACTTTTACGGAAGTGATAAGAGTAGCAACACTTGCTTGCGAGTACTGAGAACAAAACAGTAAATAGTAAGTGAAATCTGGTGATAATTTTTGTAATTGAATTCTTTCTTGATATTTTCTAAAAAGTAATCAAAGTGAATAAGCTGTTGCTGAATTTTTTACTTCAGAAGGTATTAGAATATTGAAAAGTTGAATGAATGAATCCCAAATTAAAATCTTCTTCAGTTTTTGAGCAAGCAACACTTTATGAATACAAAGTGCAGGAATGCCAGAACATGAATTCAGAAAAATGCACAAAAAATGTTTCATATAAACTAACACATTTCTTCTTGTACAATTCTACTTGAAAATAGGAAATGATAAATAAATTTCAAGTACTTTCCGATTTCAAAACTTTGAACATGCAAATTTTTGAAGCTTGAGTTATGTTACATGTAACTGCTTCTATTCTATTTTCAAAACTTTTCAACAAATTAGAAATATGTAAAATGAAAATTACGGAAGTAACTGACGCATGTTGACTTGCGCAAAAAATTCTACGTATACATAATTATTGACAGAACTACTCAAAAAGATTACTTGAATCTAATGGAAATTGTTCCAGTAATTTTTAGTCGCTGCAAAAGAAATTTGAATCGTTAATTTGAAATTACCAACAAGCATGAAAGTTTCTGCAGAACTTGGAACTTTAGAAGCAATAACATCAATATTCAATTTCATTTGCTTAAAATGCTAATCGAAAAATTTACAACAATTAGAAATATGTAAAATGATTTTATTTAACGTCTGCACAAACTATACCAGAAAAAATTCAAAAACATTTCGAACAAAAGTACTTTCCAGGTATTTGAATTTAAAGTATTATTGAGTTGCCTGAAGTATATTTCTCAAATTTTTTGGTAGAAAAAGTTGTTCAATTGAAAAAGATTGAGGAGTAATACTCGAAGAATGCATACATTTTTGATAAAGCAGAACACCTGAAATTGCCATGTGAGAATAAATGAGAAGCTATGCAGGAACATTTCACTAATTTGCTGCATATTGTTCAGACTTCACCTCAAATTCGCCTCTTTTCACAAAGTTTTCGCCATTTCTCGAAGGAAACTTCGATTTTTCAAAAATTGAGCGAGAAAAAAATTAATAATCAGAAAGAGCAAAGCAAAGAGGAAAGAAACGCAAACGGTTTTGGAATGTCTAAGTAAGACTACAAAAAACTTGCAGAATCGAACATTTAGTCAGTGCTAATAATTTTGGACTAAAATTTTAAATGCCTGATTTACTTTTGAGAGAAAGTGCGATGGACTTTTGCATTCAAACACAAAAACGAGCAGACTTTTTGCTAATTTATGACATTCTTGCCTTTTTCTTACTTTAATTTGATTAATTATCAAACTGAGAAAAGAAGTGCGATTGCGTAGCGACCGCTTCACTCCTTAATTTGTGACTATTTGAAACAAACAGAAAGGTTTCAAGTAGAAAATTAGTCTGTCAAAGGAAGAAATCAAACAATATCAAATTTAATTGTTTTTGCAGAAAATGCATTAATAAACTGAATTGAATTGAGCTCTATCTATCTAACGAACGAACGAACGAAAACTTTCAGCGTGTCTCGCACTTGTGATGAAAGTGACTTAATTTGAAAAATAAATAGTACAAATGAAAGATTAGGCCTGAACAATTATATCAGAAGTAGTCGCCAGCAACTAACTAACAACTATCTTCCCTTCAGTCTCGAATCTAAATGCGCTCTTCTCGAGATCAATACCAGAACCTTTGCAAGGCTTCGTACCAAGTCGAATCTTTCCATGGCTGTTGTTAATTTTGTGCAATAACAAATTGCTATGCTAACATTCATCGAGTCTTTCAATTCTCTCACAAATTTGCATACATAATCCTTAATCTTTGATTCCTTCCGTCAAAAGCATTCAAATTCTTGCTGGTTGACGGAAAAGTAAGTAATCGCAAGTGATCACTTCCATTTGTCGTTTGCTTATATTTTTCCTTCGAATTAACACATTCTACGATGAAATAATTCGTAAATACTCTGACAATTTTTTCAAAAATAAATTTACTTTTAATTTTTGCTAACTCACTGATTTTTTTTCAAGTTTTTTATCAAAGTAAGTCAAAAGCTATTTGTGCATTTAAAATAATACATTTTATGTTTTAAAACAATGCATTATTAAATAATTAAATAATGCAATCCATGGATCTGACGTTCAAAAAAAAGCAAACGTGTTTAGTAAATTTATTTTATCGAATAGCACATCCATGTTCGGTACAGCTTAAAATAAATCCAAGTAGCAAGCTTCGCAAACTCAAGTATTATTATTTATCAATTAGTTATTATTATTTTCCGAAGAAAAAACAAAAAAAATTTTTTAGCCTATTTTTTATACTGCTCTCTTTTTTGTCTAATCTAATTCGTGTCAAAACATCTTGAAATTAAACGGGTTCACGTACATATATATGCTAATGTTCACAATTAGCAACAGCAGTAAGTGCTGAAAGATGCTGATACTGAGACTTGAAATGGACTGTTTATTTTTCAAGATTTTCTCAAAACAAAAATGATTATTACTGATTTTCAAATATTTTAATAACTACGTAAGATCATCTAAATAAAGTTATGTCAATGATTACTGAGGAAGAAAATACCGGGGTTCACGTAAAACAAGATGACTGCAAAAATATGGAACAAATAAATGTTATACGATAAAGCAGTGACAAGTACAGATATCACTAGAGAATTTTATTTTTGAAAATAAAAATTGTTCAAGTACAAAATCCGACTAATTACAGTAATTTTGTTTGGTTAAAAGTGAACAAGCAAACAATTAAGCAAATGATTCTTTTCGATTAATGGATCAGGATCAATTTAGAAGTTGAAATTGCTTCAATCAGTTAAAAAAAGTAATCGCTTTGAGTTTGAACTTATCAGGCAAAGCACACATCAAATGAGTTTATAAAGGATCAGTGCATCCTAACCTTAGAGATGATAAAGCTCAAAAATAATCACTTGTAACTGATGACCTGTAATTAATACTGCATTCCGATAACTTGACAACAACAAAAATTCAAAGCTTAGCAAACAGAAATAAGTAGAACTGCAGCAAGTACTTTATTCAGGGATGGTAATTTAAAATTAAACTTTCGAGTGGTCACTCATTCGTCTCAAGGTTTGTTATGATTGTTGAGAGGGTGGTAAATTGCGCTAGCTAAGTTGACTTTTCTCTAACTAACGATGTATTTGCGTATATGTGCCAGCTTATGGCAGTTCGTACCAAGTAAGGCCATGGCCTAACAGATGCAAAATATGTATGCTAAGGCCAATAATATTAATTGTGATAATAATAGTAAAGGTAATAGTAATAACAATAATTAAGATTAATAATCACAATAATAATATTAACAATTAATAATAATAATAATAATAATAATAATAATAATAATAATAATAATAAACATACGGTGATGCTATGCATGTGTGTTTAAAGTTTAATTCTAAAACATTTACTATTTGATATATAACTGGTAGTTACCTAACTTTGTATGGCATAATGATTATTGTAGTCACAGAAGAAAAGTTAATAATATTAGGAGAGAAACTGTAAAAATGAACCTGACATTAAGCAGCAAAATGGTGCAACTAAGAGTTAAAAATTATGCAAATTTCAATAAGCAAACAAGACTTTGCAAATGCATTCATTTTCTTTATCGAACATTATGGAAAGATGCAGGAAAATGAGAAATAAGATAAATAAACAAATAAATACATGGAAGAAAATTGCAAAATGTCCACACTTCAGGACTAATAAATGAATAATTTCGTTTGCAAATAGCTAACGGACATTTGCCAAAATCAACTTGTGTGGTGCGGGTGTGTGTATGTATGTGTATGTGTGTGTATGTTATGTGTACAGACTACGCGCGTATAATGTGGTCAATAAGAAAATATTTGTACAGCTTATAGTAGATGAGATGAAAGGTTTCGTTTGTTTGGTGGAAATGGAATGAGGGGAGAAAGTTAGCATAGCTTCTTCTCGATGATGCAAACCAACAACCAGGAAGTAAATTTATTCAATTTCATAAAATGTACAAAAAAGAAATGGACTTTAAGTTTTTTGAATTTTACTTGCTTTGAAAATTATTGCTTTCATATTTTGACTGAACGAGAATGGATCTTTAAACGCTTACATTTAAACTACCATATTTAAAAGCTTCATAAACAGTGAGATACGTCTGTCACAGTTTTACTTTTTTGCTTATATATAATGTTATTTCTGTACTGCAATTTTTTTTATTTTTTAACTGACTTCATTAATAACTTAGGCATCCTTTAAGAACTGCTACCTTCTGGAGTATATGATTTGTTTCAATGAGGACTGAATTTAACAGTGTCATTTATAGACAAATTTCATCCAAAATAACCAACGATCAACATATTAACTGAGAAAAGGCAATACATTTAAATATTACTAAAAATGTATCATACCTTCTCTTTCTTTTTAAAAAATAACATATTGGACCAATAAGATATGCTTTTAGTGCCAGATTGTATCACTGCCATGGATCAAAAATGAATGAATGAATGAATGAATGTTTAGTTGCTAGTTGAACGCAACAATTTGATAGCAACCTATAGATGGATGATTATTTATGAAATGAAATGATAAAGCAAAAGTTAAAAACTGTTCGCTCATTCTGCACTCACTCATGAAAGCATCAATTACCACTTAACAAGGATAATTACCACCAAAATTTTTACTTATGCTAGACAACTTTAAGACTGAAGAAGAAGAGCATTTGGTAGACAGCCACAACATGTGAGCAAAAAAGAATTACGATGAGCGAGCACTTCTCTTGCCTTGTCCTTTCTTCTGCTTCACGCTATTACCACGTGTTTTCTTCATTTTTTTAACCTTATTCTGGAAATGCTGTTGTCGATGGACCTCCGATTTTGACCGTTTCGTCCCTTTATATTGCTTTTTATCCGCATGCCTCAAACATGCGCACTTTCAAGTTGCATTAATTTATACAGATAAATAATCACTTTCATTTACTTGATATTTTTCATATAAAAATATATTCATACTGCAGAGTGTCTTCTTCCATTTCTTTGTCATTTCCATCTACTCAATATAAACAAAATAAGCTCTGAAATTTCGCTGGTCCAACGAATTACAAAATCAGTCAAAATTATCAAAATTACAACTAACTGCTGAGAAATATTTCCCTGCTGACTTGCTGCCAAACGTGTTTCATTCAAGATAGTATTTTTGGAAGACAACCTATTCAGAATTTCCAATTGCTTTTTCTTTTCATTAGAAACATCTGCTTCGTTTGGTTCGTACTACAAGCCAGTGTATAGAGAACATTTTAAACTGGTTTCAAGAATAAAGATGTATCTAAGCAAATTAAAATCTTTTCTGTATCGCGAGAACGAAAAGTCTTCAAATAAATGCTAGCATAAAAGCATTCTTTAAAAGTTACCTTATGATGTTTACCCGTTTTTAACAATTTCTTTTCGTTTTTGATTTCGGGTTGAAAAACACCGTAAGATGCAGTAGCATACTTTGCTCGACTTATTTGGTTAACTAGCTAAAATCCAACATATTTTTCGACTTGCTCAGTCTTCCAGTTTTGTTATAATATTAAAAACTAGCACTGAATTAACTTTTTTGGCACCATATTTCAGTATTGATTGTTCCTAACTTTAATGAGCGAAGAATTCGGCACATAATAAGAGAAGATAATGCTGATAAAGAATAAAGCCCATAGACTTGAATCAATAAAACTAGTTGAACCTCATGCCTGCTTCGATCATTTAAACTTTTGCCAATTCCAAGTGGAGTCGCATTTGCTGATGAGATAATCATATTTCTTGAACGAGAAATATTACGCAGACGTTGCATTTCATTTTTGTTTACTCTTTCCATCTTAGCTTTTTGTCGTTCTTCGAAGTAATCAATCATTGGATCTAAATATAAACTTTTTTATCAACGTCACAAAAGTGCGCAAAAAATATTGACAACATGTTCATACAAAAATTCATACATTATACTTTTTGATTTTTCTCTACTTTACATATTATTTGAAAATAAATGTTGATAAATGAAATGATCATAAATCAGCAAAAAGATAAAATTTAATGAACGTAAATATAACTTCAAAAATTATTGTTCCACAAGAATTATCAGCTGAAAATATGACAACTAAAACCAAATGCATTACCTTTATTATCTGGAATCTCGATTAACCAATCTTTTCCATCATTAACATGAGCTCTTTTATAACCATATCTCTCTTTCCACTCCTTAATGAATTAAAAAAGTAGAGCTTCGAAGAGAAAAAATATCCTGAATATTTATTTCAGTTTATTTCATTTTCTCATCAGATTCTTTTTAAATTACTCACTCCAGTTTGATTGTCAAATACTTTTCGATCTTTTTTTCTTTTTCTTATTCCTTTTTCTTGCGCATATTGCTCCCATTTAGTTAGCTCACGTTTCTTCGGTATAGGTTTTTCTCGAGGAAGACGCAGTAATGGTTTCGGTAACTACAATACAAAAAATAAAACGAATATAACAATTGATACTACTTTTTAAAATATGAAATAAATATTTTTAAAAGGTTTAAAAGCAGGAAAAATAAAATGAAAGCTCACTGTTACACAAATAGCCTCATCAACACGTTTTTGTTCAAGTTCCCATATTTTATTGAATAAAATTTGTGCATTGTCTCGAACTCTAGCTGTTAGATTTTGTTCACTTACCAATCTATAAAAACCAAATTTAAAAAAATCTAGCAAGTTATAATTTCCTTAATAATTCTACCAATACTAAGCAGATTGTCTTTTAATTATAATGCAGTCGTATCACTGTATAAGACTTTGCAATCTGTTCAATAAATTTGTAATTCAAATACCAATGAGTTAAAAAGAATAAGGTAATACAATAAAACTCACTTCGTTACGCCTTCATCCACTAGTGGATCATTATCAATGATAAGCAAGTTACCTAAATCCACATATGGATCTATAGTTTTGCTCACTTCTGTCGGCAATACAATGAAACTTGTAGTTTCGGAGCACATTGTAAACAAAATTGCTGAAAAATTATCAGTCTCACAATAGTATGAAATTGATAAAAATTTCAAAAATCTTATATACACTATGGCTTACTTTGAAGCGCCATTACTATACTCGTTCTTGGGTAAACACCGAAGCAGTCAACAATTTCGCTCGTAAAAAGGAAAAAACTACCTGCCATTGGAGATATGTCTAATGCATACGAAAAATTTACGAATTAGACAGCACAGAGTGAGTGGAAAATACTTTCATTCGGCTATGATATGAAACAAATTACGATTTTCAATGACTGACTTATTCATAACATAATCATGCACTCGAACGGTAGCGATGACCAAACTCATACACGACCCAAAAAATAATTCTACATTAACTCAACATTTGCAGATATTGAAGTAATAAAAACAACTGAAATTAGCATAAGATAGAGCAAATTCGGACTGGGAAAAGAGTGAAGTAATTAATATGCGAGAAAACTGAGAATAGTGAAAGACTGTGAAGACATCGAGATACTCTGATCCAGGCGCTAGAAAGTTAAATTGCCTCAACATGAATTTTTAACTTCATAATAAATCAGTCAGCAGATGATATGAATGCAGGAATGGGAACTAATTTTGATTAATATATACGTGAAAATATTTGAAAATCATATGATTAGAAAAGCAGTGGAAGCAGTCTTCAAGGGAGTCACGATGATTAAAGTAATATTGTTGAAAATCTCCTTACGTTTTTTTCGCAAATATTTAAATCAACATCTCTCACAATAGCAAACATACAAAGTAAACGATAAGACTCCAGAGATCAAATTATTACGCAGTTAATACTATACAAGCTTGATGAGAAATTATCAAAACAAGAAATATATAAGACAGAGACACTTTTTGTAAATGCTTAATTCTGAAAATGTGATTAAACTCAAAGATTGTTGTGAATAAAAAAATTAATAAATGATGATATTCTGTGATATAATTAACTGTCCTAACGTGGTCTACCTAATTTTTATATATTTTTGATATGTTATTCTATTTCACCGGGAGTTTTTATTTTTGAAAATTGCTGCTTTGATATGAAAATGCGAATAATACATAAATGAAAGTAAGTGATGACAGACGGTTACTCTTTAGATACAAAATCTTCACGGTTTTCGTATTCAAAAAATGCATCGGCATTCGTCAACATACCCACAACAGTTTCACCCTTGCCTGATGCAATTAGCTCTTTCAAAGTAATTCTGAAATTAAATATGGTAAAGGCAATCAATGGAAACAACCTCTTAGATTTAACTTTGTTAACTGCAAAAAATACTTCAAATCTTACCCTTTAGAGTTTCTGGTATTACACATGTCAAATATTTCGTTCTTTATAATTTCGTATGAGGGTGCCTTCAGAGAACTATCATCCGAAAAATTATCTTCAAACAATTTAGCAATATCACGATAGAACAATTCGATATCAGAGCAAGACAAAAAATTGTCACCATCAACATCCATCAATCGAAAGTGATAACTTATAGATGATGGATCCTAAAAAAATTTTAATGATAAAATAGAAAATAAGTAAGAAAAAGACGTCTATAATACCATTAAAATTACAAACTACAGTTGTTTTAATTAAAAATAGCATTACGCAACATGCGAATGAAATACTTCTAATTTGTTTTCATAGTTTAGTATAAATTTGAATCAGCAATCAACCAACCGATCTATTTTCTATTGCGTATAGGAAGTCACAAAATCCTTTCAAGTCAATCTCCTGCTTCTCATAAGTTTGACTAGTTTCAAAAACTCTGAAGATTTCACACGTATTTTATTTTTCCAAAATATAAACTTCAAAACATTATAAAATATTATCTGTAAGTTTATTTCGCACTAAACTGTATATGCACATCAAAATACTCAAAGTTGGAATACGAAACCTTTGAATAAAAGCATTGCTGATAAGCTGGAAATTTAACATTTCTGATAAACTTAGTAATCCATTCCCATCCTCATCAAGACGACGGTATAGATTTATTATCCTCATACAATTCTCTTTGGAAAACCTATAAAATTAAAATAAAGAACAGAGAAATCAATATTGAATATAGGAAGGGCTTATTCACCTTCTCATTTTTGAAATTAAAGAAATGGTAAATGAATCAGTTATAATCATTGTACTGTATGTAAAAAGCAACAGAAATGAATGAAAACCTACATGTATTGTCTCACTGAACATTTGATTATTTCCTAAAATATGTTGAATAATTAATGAAAAGTTTAAGAAAAAACTTACCAATTCGATGCGGATGATTTTTTTCCTTCTGTTTCCACAGATTCTTCATCGTCACTCAAAATATCATTCAATATTTCGAATTCTTCTAGCAGACGGCTGGCTACAACATCAATAATGCGAATTTTTCTTGCTCCCACCGTGTCAAGTAAGAAAAAAAATTTTTGCGCAGCAATGCATAAATAGTTTTCTTCCAACTCTGGTTCTTCCTCCTAAAGAAAGTAAAAGAACAAGTAAAGAATAGGAACATTTCAGAAGCACTGCTGGAAAAATAATTACCACTTTTGATCCAAATATTTTGGAATAATTAAAAAGTGTCACTTGATGATGGATTATGAAATACACTTACTTTCAAATTTGCAAGAGAAGGTATCTCAGGAAGGATTTCTTGCTGTATATACTGTTTTAAATCCTGTAAGAAACGACAGAGAAATTTTAAATTAAGTATTATATTTATTTACGAAATCTCGAAAAACAAAAATCGTTACCTTTAATGATAAAAATCCTTTGCCTTCAGAATCATAATAATGCAAAGAAATCATTCTTCGCATTTTGTCTTTTTTAATGGCCACATAATCCATGATGGAAAAAATTGACACAAGTCCTTCACTTTTAGCGCTGCTAATTTCAAGTAAATCCATGAAAGCCTTCGCAGACAAAAAATTTTTCAAAACCTCAGAACAAGTGGCCAGGGCTCGCTAAATATAAATAAATTACGATAATCGCTCAAAATTTTGTTCAAAAAATTTGAAAGGCATATAAAACAGGTTTAAATTAATTTGATTTGTAAAATGATATGAATACTGGAAATATTCCAATAAAAGTTACTTTGTTATGTACAATGTCCTCAATTATGAGGTGAGAATAAGATCAAAGAAGAAATAAAATTTAAAAACAAACCGGAGAAATAACTTACTTTATAACTCGTGTAATCCACGAACTTCTCTTTCTCTTGATTAGATTTCAATTCATTTTTTCGTAAATTCATGAAAAACATCTAAAAAACGAATTTTTTGCATACAATCAAACTAAATTAAACTTTTAAAAAGCAATGATTTCCTAATAATCAGAAAATAAAACCAAAGAAATATATATCAAACCTCAATGTCATCACTGCTTGGCAACGACCCCAATATTTGTTGCCATACACGATTACAAGCTTCTAACCGTAACTTTAATTGTAAACTTTGTTTGGCGTTTGTTCTGATAGACACATCACTTTTACAAGATAACGGTTTACTCTATAATTTGATTTCCCTTTATTTTTGTTTTTATACAAGTTTAAAACTTAACTCAAAGTGCTAAAAAAACTGACAACCTTCCTGATGAATAGCAAATATTCGATTTCTTCTAGATCAAGGTCCAGCTGATCAACTAAACTCCCTTCGTTACCCAACATTCTCTTATTTCTTCAGTGTTGTCCGTACGCTATACAATAGCATTAATATTTCGATAAATTTAGCTGTCATAGAAAATGTAGACAAAAAAAATAAAAATATTCTAGATGAAACTTCTGTGTCAGTAACAAAGCTAATTGTTCTGATTCGGAACACTTTTTAAAGCTTCACAAGTTAATATTAAATACATTTTAGTACACAGAAAGTGAATAAATAGTCTTGATGTGTAAAAACAACAAATATTTGGTCAATTATTAATATCCAACACATTATTTATTTTCCACCACGTTCCTCACATGATTTTTTTTAAAGAAAAAGCGACATATATTTCATTACCAATTAAATATGCAAAGTAATTTCTATCCAAATGACATCCAAATGTGAAATTATGATCCAAAAAATATATGAATTCGTGAAATTCGTGAAAAAACTTTCTCAGCACAAGATACAAATGTAAGATCTAAGCATGTTTGCTCACTTTGTTTACAAGTTCACATTCAAAATGAGAAACGATAATTAATAATTAAATACGCAAAGTAAAGTAAGTCCTCCTATAAGTAAAAATTAAGGAAAATAAGATAAAATACTTGACAAAAGTTAACCATTATGAATCAAAAATGTGTACTTTCGTAATGAATGAGAAGCTTAGGATACAGACCTAGATCAATAACACCGGAATGCTATAATTCAATAGACTGAGGTACTTATATATATATATTTTGTCTTTTATTTTTGCTACTTTCTTATATATATATATGTAAGAAAGTAACAAAAATAAAAGACAAAAAATTTTAACTTGACAATATGCTTTTGAAAACCAACAAAAATATCGGTCTTTATATTTCCATTCATACTTTACAATTACATTCATCTACCTTTATAAACTTGCCAGATGGAGGCAACGGACTGTCGTCTGTATTGATTCCACAAATATTTCTACTAAAATAATCAGAAATATCACTTTTCGGGACTAAAAATATAAATAATTGTTAGAAATTTACAAGTAAGGTGGCACTGAGTAAGATTAAATCTTATTTATTTGTATTTGTTCACAGATAAACTATTAGATGTTTTATAAAAAAAGATAACAAATACAAACCTCGGTAAAATCTCATCTTCTTCTTTAATGTGCCGCTTCTTTTTTGGTGATTCCAGTAAAGGGAAGCTTGCTTTCAAATAACTCAGAGCTTCTCTTCAATCATTAGGTATTGTAATAAAACATAGAGTAACATGAACTTGGAATTATTCGTTTCCAGCACCTACCCTACCCACGTATATCAACTCTCGAAAATAGAAGAATTTGAAAGTTCCAGCAACAAAATTAAAAACTAGTAATCAAAAACTTACAAATCTCATTTATATTTCAAGGTTTTCAGAAAAAAAGGAACTAACTCTGCACGTTTTAAAAGTGACACATTTGGTTGCAGGAGATCGCCTAATAACTTATCGTCGACGATAGGCAGTGGAGTATTTGGATACAATGCTCGATGTTTCATGGCTTTACATACATACTGCAACATCGGATTAGGTACATCACGAGGACGTAAGACCTCTCTAAACTGACCAGTTTCCACTTCACTGAAACTTTCGTAATGATGAACCGATCCTGTGCTTCTCGAAAAACAAAAAAATTTTTTTGTCAACTTCATTTCCATACTTTTTAGAACTTGCTATCATTATTAAGACTTTGAAAGTTGCACCCTCAGCGAATAAAAGCATAGAATAAACTTACTAAAAAGCTTTTGTCAAATCCATTGCTTTCATAAATGCATTCATTGCGTTGAGATGATCATCTGAAAGTTTACAGGAAATAACAAGTTTTGAATTACTAATCTCATCCTCAAGAAAAGGAGTAAGCATCTTTAATAATTAGTGCAGTAGATCATTATTCTGCTAGGTTTGGATTTTATAATGCGTTCTGCCTTCAAAACTCATTTATAAAATGTATATACAATAATATAATTCGAAAGATAGAGTCAGAGACGCTGGTCTACTGCAATGAGCTAAAGACAGAATGCAATATCAAATCAAAATCTAGCAGAATATATAAATGAATCAAATAAATTTGCACACAAAATAATGATTTTACCTCATCCTTACACATCAAATAAGAAATTTGAATACACATCAAATAAGAAATTTGATTTTAAAAAAAGATTAAAAATGGAACACACGTGTTGGTTTGCTCCTAAAATCTTCCAGTGCTGGAAAGTCTAGTCCACGAAAATCTTCATAAAATGGCAAGTAAATACCAACCATCATCTGAAAAATACCAGAGAAATAAATTTCCAACAGCATTACTTCAGAAAGCAAAAAATGGATAAGTGAATTTTCTTGAAGAAAAATTATATTATTCAGAATTGTTAAACAAATGAATAGCAATTAAAGCAAAAAATGAATATTTTTATAACTTACATCTACTCCTTTCTTACTTTTTCTTGGGAACAAAGCCATAATTCGAGGATGCGAAGCTGCATTATAAACAAATCGAGCTAATGCTACACTCTTTTCAATAATCATAGCGTTTACAAGTGCAGACAGAGCAATACACGCATCCTAGAAAACTTATTTGTACTCATACCATGAAATAGATTTTAAGTATTTCTGAATATTCAGGTATAAATAATCACTTTATCATGAGCTGGAGGGATACAGTAAAATACACCACCATCCATCAAGTAGTGCTCCAAAATCTGAAAAAAAAAGATGAAGTTTATGTTGTATTGGAGAGAGAGAATGTGATAAAAAGCTATACAAAAGTTTTAGAAACCGTAATAACCAAAGCTAGCGTATGACAAAATAATTTTTGAGATAATATTTATCAGTGATTTAAATTTAATCGTCCAGAACAAGAAAAAAAGAACAGCTTACTGCAACGACGATAATTCGATCGATGATTAGGGAAAGACAAACTAATAATTCAACTGAGCGCAGCAAGGCTTTGAAAATATTTTATGCTCAATGTAACTCATTTGAGAAACTTTTTTACTTACCTCAGTTCTTTTTGCAAATTGTATTAACTTTAAGCAACGATTTTCCGACTTCCAACCAAATTCTTTCTGGTCTTCATCATTATACGGAATAATCGTTGTTCCAAATTTATATCCTTAAACAAAAAGCAGCTGCTCATACCAAGAAATTATTTGAAGCAATTTAAATATTGAATGGTGTCACTGTTAGCAATATCGAATCTCAAATAAATTCAAAATAGTCCAAACATTTGCACTAAAACTCTTATTTTAATTTTACAAATGATACAATGAAAAATAATGCACTATTCACTAAGTAGAAAAATAATATTAGTTACAAGCAAAACCTTTTACAATGTCTTCTTTTCCTAGCGATTTTGATGCACGACTTTGAGACAAATAATTTGTGTGGTCCTCCGCGCCTGTTACTACTGATTGTACTGCATCTGCAACCTCTTCGCTCCCACCTAATTTTTCGTACACTGTTTTCCGTCTTAACTACAAAATAAATACCTCTTCTTTTTTTACTTCAATATGTTTAAATTTAATTCATATTATAAAGCCACCTGAGTATCACTTGACGGTGCATATTTTGCCATTGCAAGTTTAAAATCAGCTATCTGAATTTTTTTATACAGTTGCAAAGGTAACTTTACATCAGTTCCCAATTCCAGATAAAATCTCTGACCGCGCAAATTCAATTTTCGAGGCACAAAACGTTGTAGTACTGGTAATGCTTCACTAAATGAGGGATAATTAAAAATTTGAAAGATGAAAAGGATGAAAAATATATGCCAATCTAATCAATACAATCCAAATTATTCGAGTTTAAAGTTTAAATAATAAACTATGTTACTGTTATGAAAATTAATAAGTCAATTATTTGCAAATCAGAACTTACGCAAAAGAATAAATGGTACCATCAGTTTGCTGAACAATAGCTGTTATAGCATGCACAGCAGATTCTATCTCTGGCGTTGTTAACTGTAACATTCCCTTTTCACGAACTGCTGAATACTCATTCACAAAAATTTCTTTTTTTAGTTTCCTAGTTGGCTGTTCCAAGGACGGACCACTGAAATCAGTTATAGTTTCAATGAGTTTTAATAGAGTTAGGTATGCATAATAGTAGTCTTCAGATATTTCACTGCAGAAGCTTAAATATAAGATGTCACATGATGCTAAAATTGATTTCCAGAGCTTTGATGCCATTTATAGCGGCTTCAATGTATTCCTTATCCGGATTTTCATCACAGCCGTTCAAGTTTGTAATTAAAAGAATGTTTCGTACAATAATATTACATTCTGGACAACTTTCAAGCTGAGTACGCATATACTCTAATCCAACAATCAGTGCTGCCATGTCTGAAAATATGGAAATTCTCCGTCCAACTAATTTTCTTTTGTATGAAAATTTGTAAAATTAATCTTAAAGCAATGGATAAAACCAACTTTAAAGATTACAACTGCGCCTCACAGTTTTGTTATCGTTTTAGCAAATAAAACTGATTTAAAATCTCTTAGACATTTTTACTTACCAGCTATATTCATGAGCTTTATTTATTTACTTACAATTCCCTCTTACTGATTTACTCGGTTTGATTTCTTTGTCAATAAATCGCAACCAATCGATTTTGGCTTGCTGCATTTCTTCTTCACAAAAAAAGATATGCTGATCCAACGTTAATGGATTCTGTGTTTCTTCTGAACCAAACAGTACCAATGTGAACTGATCACTGGATTCACTGAATATCTTGAAAAGATTTTTCATTGTTACCGTAAGTTCCACTAACTGCATTAATATCTTAATAATCTACCGCCATCAAAGAAAATCAATATTCTGGACCTGTTTAAGTGACTGTAGTTCACATACTTCCTTTGGCAATGAACAGATAAAATCCCACCATTACTTTGAACATTTTCTTAAGAACACAAACGTAACATAAGATTAAATATACCTTTCTAGTAATGATCCACTCCACAGAATCTTTCGCCAATTGCATAGCAGAGATACCATTCTGCTCCAGATTCATGTTTGCTCCCACGTCAATAAGTATCACAGTGCATTCATGTGGCGTTTTTTTCACGCGTTTTCTCAAAAGTATTTCATCACCTGACATTTTCCTAAAAAACTTATTCGAAAATTTTTCAAATAAAATTGTGTCGAAAAAAACAAAGAACACCATACTTTAAAAAACGAAAAAATAAATAGATGACAAAAGTATTTATCTATTGCAAATAACATCAAAAAGTAAAAAAAAAATCTTGCACAAAAAGGCTTGAGTGCTGATCGAAATGCAAAGCGCAATAGTGTATAACTTTTACTAACTGATAACACTATTATACAATATAATTTGCATTATGAAATGAGTTCAATTTTTGTGATGAGTCAGCAGATTTCCACAAGATTCTTTTCATTATTGGGCCTTCATATTCACCCAGAGGTAATCCAGAATATTTTGAATCAGCAAAGAAGTTTGCATTGCTCAAATTACGTTCACGAATTTGTATCCCTAACCTGAAAACAACTGACCGCGCAATAACGATGAATTAAAGAACCCATTAATAGTTCTGAAAATAAATGAATAATGGGCATCAAAAACTGGAAAAATAATATTGATGGAAAAAAAATGTACGATACAAGGGAGATTACGAATCAACAACAAATTACCTTTTGCAAATTAATAAATGTTAAGAAAAAAATTAACCTATTTAACAATTGATGGGAGTAATGAGGTAAGATAGGTTGCATTAAAATTCCGCATACTCTCAATGCTTCACAACATACGTACAATAATGAAGATACCTGGTCAAATATTTTCTTATAAAAAAAGCAGTCAATGAATATAATTTTATACTCATAAATTTCCAAAATTTAAAATGAAAATATATAACCAGAGTTTGAAACCTTTTTATCATTAATCTGATTCCATGGTTCATAATGCTGAAAGAACCTATTTGTCTGTTTCATTACATCCATAAGAAGTTCAAGTGCTTTATATGTCATCAATTTATCACACTGTTCCTTATACAAATCTGTAATTCAAATTCAGATCATAAACTATATACCAGTATAGCAAAAAAACTGCTTTAAAATGTGACTCATATTTATATATTCCTTTAAGGTGATCACTGACACTAGAACAGCACTAATTTCATGGCAGAAGTTAGTACATTTGCAACATTAGAATTACTGAGGAAGGATCAACATCGTGGGCACTACCTGGAAGACAATTAATGGAATCAACTAGTGGTTCGCCTAATTCAAATAAATCATCTTGAAATACATCACGATGAAATGCAGGATATATTTGCGTTAGATTAAATTTTGCAAAAAGCGATCGCTGCAACAGGTTTCCCATGTTATTTACAAGGTCCGCATTAATGACATCTACAGCTTTGCGCACCATAAAATCTGTATAATAAAAATATAAGCAGTAAGTGATGACTTTTTATCATCTTCAGAAACTTCTAAACATAAACTATTGCAACAATGTTGAGACAGTAGCGAATTTGAGATCAAATACTTACTAGCATCGCTTTGAGGAGTACCTTGCCGCAACAAAAAATATCTCAGTCCTTCTTTACCCAGCAATTTAGAAGCAATGAACGGATCTACTACATTTCCAAAACTCTTAGACATCTGGAATTGGAAATGAACTAAAATGTGCAACAGCGCTAAAGAAACGTGACGGTAATAAATCGCAATTAAAAACCTTAATTCCATCAATAAGCCAATGACCATGGACAAATATTCGTTTTGGAAGAGGAAGATCCATCGCAAGCAAAAGTGCTGGCCAAATAACAATATGGAACCTTTACAATGATATATTTTTTGAAAAAACTTTAAAAATTTGTTTGTTCAAAAGCTAGCAACAAAAAGCTCAAGACTGATATACAACTAAATACGTAATACTGAAAAGTTTTCTTAAAAATATGAAAACAGTATTTATTAAATGCTTAAATAAGATTTCTTATAAACTGTTTTCTACCATCAACTATGATAGCGAACACAAAAGTTTATAGAAAAAACTACAAATTTCTGAAAAACGTCCACACACGTTCGCAAAAATTAGAGAGCTAAGTTTATATGAGTTGTTTATTCGTATTTTTTACAGATTTTTTAGTGAATAATTTTGCGTTCAAGATGAAAACTTAAATCAGTCATCATAAAAGTCTATGCTACTTCATAATATCCTTGCCAATTATTTGACATGTCGGTGGCCAGTTTCTTTCCCTGCTATTTGAAAAAATACCACTCCCTGTCAAATAATTCATTAACGCATCCAACCAAACATATATCTAAAATTATTCAATAGTAGAATTTCAAAATAACATGTAAATGATTGTTTAACTCTATAAATTTTTCGTCCACTTTGATTTTCAATACAGAAACACAGACTTTATAATCCATAAAAACTGGGCAAGAAATTTAGAATCCTTCCCGTGCTTTACATAAATCAATATTTGAAAAAAACAACGAAGAAATTTTACTGTTTGATTCTCATCATTTGGCACTGCAATTCCCCATGTAACTCTTTTTCTATCTCTCGACAACGAAAGGTTATCTTCAATAGCGTCAGCTTGTCGTAAGGCTTCAGTTAAATAAACTTTTGGACGTATGATATCTGATGATAGGGCTTGAGTTAATCAGACTTTTAGGCGTGTAATAACTAATGAAAATCGAAATAACTAAAATATTCACCGAAAAACTAAGAACATTCACATTTATTCTATATTTGATAACCTTTACATACATAGATGATGACAATACATTAATTATGCAGCGCATGCAACGCATATGAATTAGAAACAGCTGCAACGGAGAAACGTACTGAAAAAACTAACCATGGGAAAATGTGATCGAAAGATTAATAAGCGTAATGAATGCAAAAGAAATCTAACTCACCATTATCACTGAGCCAAATTTTTATAGCATTTTTATATTTAGATATTGGAAAAATATAATTTTCCTCCTGAGCCCATTCTACCACAGTACCTGTCATCTTGCTCACCTAAAATGATTATTTACAAATCGAAATACTATTAGAGAATAAAACTAAAATAATACATAGCTTACTACATAATTTCTGGACAATTTAATAATTAAAGAAACATAAATCTACAAATTTAATGCTAGTGTTTTGAATTTAGGACTACTAAAAGCCAAATTGTATGAAAAAAATAACCATCAAAGTTTGGCCATTCAATCTTTCTACTTCATCACTCGCATAAAAACACTCATCAGTCGTGGAATACCAACCTTCATAGTATTGCCTTTTCAACTGCCCACGTTTCTCTAATTCATGCTAAATTACATCGATGATTTCATGAAATTCATACATATATATTTAAAATGATGCAATTTTTTGACTTTAATATTTTCAATACAAATGCAAATAAGTCACATCGATTGTTTGCTCAACAAGATAGATTTCTATTCACAAACACAATTTACTTATAAATATTCAAAATGAAGGATATAAAAAACCATTACCCATACAAACTGAACAACATTTTTGTGACGCGCTTCAGTAGTCCGTATAAAATCATTCGGTTGTACATCAAATTCACGCAAGAGGTTTCTGAATTCATTGCTAATATCATCACAGTACTTTTGTGGACTGCAACCAACAGCATTAGCAGCTTGTTGAATCTAAACACATAAAAGTTTGATGAAGGCTTCTACACTAATTAGAAGTGCATGAATAGTTTTACATGAATAGATGTAACAATAAAGTTACGCCAATATTTTCAAAAAATAGTTAACACTGCAGTATAAACTCTACATAATTAAAATAAATATTTGAATCAGCAGAAAAAAATTGACGATAAAGTAAAAAAATCACTAATTTCAATTACTAGCCATATTTTTGGTAATAACACCAAACTTTAACTAACTTTAAGACCGTGCTCATCAGTTCCCGTAATAAAAAGCGACTCATTGTCACCACCTTTCTTTAACAATTCCCAGCGATTCAACACATCTGCCAATAGAAGAGTGTACAGATGACCAATATGCGGACCTACAAATTAGTACAATCAATTTTCTATGCAAAGATACTACTACTCGTCATAAAAAGAAATCTGAATATGCAAACTAACGTCCATTTGTATAAAAGATAGGAGTAGTAATAAAATGTTTTAACTTCTTTGACGCAACCTCCAACCCTTTTATAGCAAAAAACTTCTTGAAACTAGAAATCATTAGTCGTGAGTACCTGAAAGGGAATAATTCTACACAAACTATTCGTAAAAAATAGCATCTGAAATTCTTAGGATTCGAAACGGTGCAATATACACATGATGAGTGGAATTTCGATACTGAAACTTTCACAATATCTTCCAGTTTAAAAGAAAATCAAAAGCAATAAAAGTGTTGCAAAACTGATACTAATCGACAGTAAGACTTTATAACCATTTATTTAAGCAAATTGCATCTTTCACAAGAAGATAAATAAAAGGAATAAATAAACAATCTCAGAAGATAAATAAAGAACCAAATATATTTATTAATTCACTGATCAATTACACGCAACTAATTTAAAAGCAAATATAATGTTCACTAATTATCAACACTTTTAATTTTATTGAAGGTAACTAAAATACGAAAAAAATCCGTACTTCACCTCAAGTATGGCATGAGAATATCAGTGCAATACTCAACAAAAACCTAGAAATGATACTTAAAATTTTGTTACACAAGTGTAATCTAGACATTAATTGTACAATATACTGAGATGTTCAACAGAAATATTTTCAAGAACTCAATGTTTCATTAAAATCCATCGCCATTTCCAAGTCATACTAAGTGAACATATGATGTTTTACTTGTACCACCACTTAAATATTTGGTTACCAACTCTGTTAAAAACCTGATACTAACGAACACATAAAGTTTTTAAATATAATAATAAGAAGAATCAACACGGCTAGGAATCAACAAACTCCATTAAATTTCTAATTTTCTTTGTGCTTATTTTTTCCGATTAATGTAGGCTTCGAATCTTCTACTGACCTTATATCATCAAATTCATCACTTAAAAGTTCTTTTTCTACATCAACTACTGAATGACCATCATCGATACTTCGTTCAATGAAGTATTCTCTTAAAAATTTGCTCTCAAGATATGCAGCAACCACATCTGGATCCCTTAAATCTTTTATCTGCAGTGGCTTTTTTGCAGTAATTAACTGATACTCGCTACTAGTTCTTCCTTTGATATATTCCATCTGAAATATCTTTCTATAAGATAAATCAAATTCCTGACTACTGATACTACAATTTACTGGCTGTGATTTCCTTATACTAAATACACGACAAGCAATAAATTCTTCGAAAATGAATAAGACTAAATATTTGGGAAGGCATTAGCACTTGACTTTTTAACATTAATCACCAATACAATGCACCATTATCACTGTAACTTGCATAACAATGACAGTTAAAATTCCAATGTATGCAAAAAAATAAAATCTTATCAAAATTAAAGTGAAGGAAATTACTTTTTCAATTTGTTCTTTCCGACTTAACAATACCAAAATATAAGAAAAAAGAATTACTTTGACATCTTTGAATCCAGCAGGCTCCAATGCACAAAGATATCGAGCAGGATCGAACTGCCTTCGCCTTAGTAATTTCATTTTCTCTAAAACTTCTAGCCTAAAACAAATACTAACAGTTACTAAAACTCTACAGAGATCTATCACTACTACTACAATGAATAAACTAAATAAAAAAGCATAAACCAATCCCACTTCTTAGTTTCTTACTAACAATATTAAGATTACAAAGGACAAACTTTTTCAAGTGCATGCCGGAAAGTAAGATGCCCCCCGGTTTTAACACTCTCATTATTTCACCGAGCGTTGCTGGCAAATCAGGAGTCCAAAAGTATGATGAATGGACATGAAAGACTTTATCGAAAAATTCATTATTGAATGGCAATAATTTCGGATCATACACCTGAATAAAAACCAAACATCGTAAATAACAAAAAGATTTTACCATATCATGAAGATACGGAAAACGGTGTGATCATAATTAAAAAGGAAGTAAAAAAGCAAAAATGTCACCGTTTAAATATGAATAAAGTTTTCATTACGCTTCAAAAGCATAAAAACTCATATCTATTTTCATAGGTTATTCGATAAAAAAGCCAAGTACAGATTCATCTATTTATAAAACAAGTAATTTTTACTTCTTAAGAATATCCACAATTTTCAAGGCAAATAACATGCAGAGAATTTATTGTTCCCAACTTAAATACTGAGTAAACGTATTAGTAATACACGACTTAATTAAGCACTTGCTTCATTGAAAACAATTTGTTTATCTTCCAAAGCTTTTTCAGGAAAACGACACTGTGCTATAGTGAACAATGAAGCCCATCTATCCACAGAGTATACACTTCCATTCCCTTTCCTCAGATTATTATATGAATTTAAAATCCCTACAAATAGTATTTTTCAAATATAATCTTATTTAAACAGCTGCTCGTATTTTTCTTGGTAGAAAATCAAAATAAATCTAGAAAAAAGATCTGCTTTAAAACAAAATTGAAACATTCACATTTATTCATGATATTTTGGTCTAAAATATTCTTCAGGAAGAACTGAAGAAAGTTATGCTAATGCGAAATTCTGAGCACAAAGCATATGCTATAACTGATAACACAATAGGTGGAAAAAATGAATACTACACATGTTAAAAGTATAAAACGGCTTATAAATAGTACACACCTTCACCAAAACCCATACCGAGCTCCAATATTTGGTCATTGGGTGATATATTCAATGCTTTCACAACAGCTTCCATCAAAAACGGTGATTTCCAAGCCAATAATCCGGACATATACATTCCATCCGCAGCGTCATTCGGAGTAGTGAGCTATATAAGTGGAATATTAAATAACTTAAAAAAACAAATGCGCGAGAAGGTACTTTTTATTGACTACTTCTGGTAAAAACTTCCGGAACCACAGTACTGCTAAAAAATCTAAAGTTCTTCAATATGTAACTCACAAAATATCCTTGTAAATCTGCAAATATAAAGCAACATCACAATGCTGAATGCAGATGAAAACTGCATAATAAACTCCGGTAAATTACAATCGCAGCAGCTTCAAATTATGTGGTTTAATCTTTTTTTTGCAAGCGTGAATTGCAAATTCATTCATTTCACATCATGTACATTATATAAGAGAGAGCTAATTTCAGAATTAAATTCAAACTCACTTTATGACGGAATAGCCGAATTATACTTTTGAAAGATGGCATCTCAGAAATAACGACTTACATCACTTTTTCCAACTGGCCTTGCCCTATTTTAAGTTCACCAATTCCTCATCTGGACTTAAAGTGGACACAACTTATTACTGTAATCATATTCAATTTAAAACAAAACTACAGTACGCGTAACAACGAAATCAACGTTTAAAGATTTTAAGCAGTAAATAAATGGATTATGCATTATATTTTTAAGCGTTTAATTCATAAATTCAACTTGAAAAACAAAACTGATATACCTTTCTTATTCTTCTCTTGAATACATTTTTTTAGCACTTTTCAGAATATTTGTAAAGTAATTCAATTTTAACAATATTCGAGTTATATTATTCATTTGCTCGAACCTGACTTTTCTGACTCAGTTTAAAATAACATCAGCTTCATCAAAGTCAAGACTCTATAAACATTCTCCAGACAATCTTATTTCCCTCACGTAAGACATAAAAAATCACGTTTTTAAAAAAAAAAAATTTTTTTCAACGCAAGTTGAATCTGAACCGGACATTTCATTTACTTCAAGTTACGCATATATTTAATCAATGTAATTATCCCTCAGGTTTATTGCGCGGTTAGTAGCAGCAGCTTTTTCTGTAGTTTAAAAAAAGGACTAAGCATGAAAATGTTCAAAAATTTCTTAGCTTTAAGCGTTACATCTCGTGCAAACTAGTAATATTAGTAAAAAATCGCAATATTTTGATCATTTTTAGTAATTCCTACTTATTTTAGCCTTTTCAATCTAATTTTCACCACAAAAAAATGCTATAACTTGTATTTTGTAATTAAAAATGATTTTACGAGTGTTTATTGGCAGTAATATTGTACAGCAGAAGTTTTCTTTTTTTTTTGAGCATATTTTTAGTTGTCTTATTACTGTTGAAAGTTCTGTCATTTTTACGTGATGGATTTTCCGTTACAAACGTTTTTGATCAGCGTGTAAAATTTACTTATTTGAAATGAGCGCATTTTTTTCCTTTTTTTTTGCATGATTCATCGCAACAACTCTTTAAACATAGCACTGTTTGCATTATTGTGCTGTTTTGTATCAAAATATTGTCACTTATGAACGAAAGAAATAAAGCTATTACTATTTCATCTGAATAAAAATTTCACTGCAGGTTTTATCAAGATAAAATGGTCGAATAATCGATTTTTCAAATTTTTAAACTAGATAATAATTCATTTACTTTCCCATAATTAAGTCATAACATTTAATGAATTTTCGATTTACACAGAACTAAATAAAAGCCTAGTATCATAGCTTTATTTACTCTTAATGTAGAATCTTTTAGCTCACATCCCACATCACGTTCTAATTTATCAAACTTCTAACTTGATATGATTATATCAAGATTCTTTTTTGATGGGTAGTGGAAAAGAGCATAACGACCACTTTTTGTGAAAGTTTTTTTTAAAACTTGTCTCAGTCTCAAACTTTATGTAATGCATGTGAATTGTTAGTTTGTTATATTCAGTACAACAGTTTTAATTACAAAGTAATATTTTAAAATATATTTCTTTTACTAATTTAGCTGTAAAAGATTTTTCATGCGTAGTAATCCTTAATTGAAGTAACAATTACATCATTGAAATCTGGTGCCTTGGTTTATTACCTGGCAAATGTGTGTCAATTTTTTTTAATGTCGGTGTTGAACTCATTTTTTATTGGAATTGAGTACTTATTAATGTGCTTTTGTTTTTACTTGTGGTTTACCAATTTCGTGGTAAAATGAGCATTTACTTACGTTTTCTGTTTTCAGCAATTTTGATGAATTTTATATCAGGGAATGCAAATGAAGATCAGTGTTAATTAGCGGCAAATATACAAAAATGAATGAAAGTAAAGTTGACGTGAATATTAAATTCGAAAAAATTCAAAAAGAACCTCCAAAAGCTAGCAATGATAATGATGTAAAGAATGAAAAAGGAACACTACAAATGGAGAAAAGTGATACCGAAGTTTGTTTGTTTATTATTTTTCTGAAACGTGGCTGAATTGTTTCTGCTTTTTATGAATCTTCGTAGATTAATAATACCTTAAGAGAGATTATGATTTATGCCGTTTTATAATTGTTACCGAAATTTGTGGAAATAAAAGGGAAGGAAAAGAAGCAGTGCTGAGCGTTAATTTGAAATTAATAATAGTCGCTTTTGAGAGAATAATTCTAAAGGAATTAGTAAGAAATTTCGTATTTTAGTTTTAGCTTTTTTGTAAAATCTGAATTTTATGCTTACAAGCTTTCAGTATGATGAAACTGAATCAGTGGGTCAGAAAGCAGATGCTCATGTTCTTCAGCATGCTTTGCGAAAGCTTTACAGTGATCCTTCATTCGCAATCATCTGTAGTTTTTTCAACAAATTTGCTGTGTTTTTGGGAATGAAGCCGCAGTGCTTTGCAAAAATAGAAAGCATGTTCACTAGTTTTCACATTACTGGCAAAGGTATATGTTATACGTGTCTTACAAACTTTGTGAGGTTTCTTTTACAGTATCCATTGGATTTAAAGTATAAGAAAATAATGGTTCCGTGTTTTCGTCAATGTTTTTCTAGGCTCGCGTATCGCTCTATCGATGCTTATAAAGTGATCAGTAATTTTTTTATAGAAAAGTACTTTAAAAGCTTCCCAAGAGGCAAAGTTAGTCATCTCATGTTTGTTTATTGTTCTCACATCATGCATTGCCAGTGTTTGTTATTAAATTTTTTCAGTTGATCGAGATTTGATAGATTTGCATTTGACGTTGATGAGAAAATTAGCATTTAAATCAGCAAAACTGGATGCATGGGAAAAATACCTTCTCAAATTTTGCTCATTATTACCATCACTAGAAAGTGAATATTTGCAATTAGAGCGGTATGGGTATTTGCACACATCATCAACAACAAAGCTGTCAATTCTGAAAGCCTTATGTGAAAGCCAATTTGATTTTAATTCTAAAGTCAAGGAAAGTGTAAGTTACTATGTATTTAGTAGTGCTAAATTTTAAATTTTTTAAATTTTCAGAAAATTATCATTTTGGTCACATATATTATTCATCTGACTCGTGTCATTGTAGCTTCCTTCATCCACCCCAGTTTTAGTTATTAAATTCATGTTCGGCAAGTGACTTGCGTTTGTTACCGATTGGTTTTGATAAAGAAGGACTCGCATATCTTTACCAACAGGATGCGGATTTAGTTATTCGTGTATATTCTGCTGAGCAAGATGATCATTCTGGTGGTTCATGGAATCTTGTTGCCAAGTTAGACTTTTTAAATTTTACATTACTATTGTTTCATTCGTTTAAATTGATTTATCTCTCTTTCACTAGTTCTTAAAGTTATTTAAATGATCAGTGATTTCGAACATGTCAGAAAGCCGTGAAAATTTATTTCTCTTTGTTCTGTCTCTCAAAGTCATTTGCATCTAATACTAAATTTTTTGTGATGAACATGACTAATTTAGAGACCCTTAAAGCATTTTTCAGTAACAAATCAAGTTTTCAGATCTAAAGAAGAACTTGAACATTTAGTCATGGGATTGAAAAATCGACTTGATTTCAAATATTTATCCAATGCTCTGATTCACCTAGAAGGTTTTTTTTTGTTATTCTTGAATGGCCAAAAAAGTTAGATATGATTCATGTAATGGTTAGGGTCATTTTTTGGAATATATGCATTTATTAATCGTGTAATTAAATGTTATTACTGCAGCAGAAAATGAAAAGCAATTGGGTATTTTACCAAAATTCATGACGAAACGTGGATCTTTATTAGATACTTATCAAGACGAGTCAACAGTCAAGGTTGAAAAATTCAGTGTTTTTTTATCATATTGTTTCATGTCACGTCTTATTTTCGTTATGTATTATATCATTTGTCTTTATTGCATTTATTCTTGAAATAATAGAGGAAGCTTGTGAAAACAATTCGAAAGAAAAAAAAGAAAGTCGTTGAAGAGGAGTTAAAAAAAGAGAACAGTACACCACCAGTGGAATTAATAGACGATATTCCCGATGAGGTTAAACCTTTTGTAAGTTTTGCAAATCGTTGTTAAAATTTGTCAGAATTTGATGGCACTGTACAAAATATCGAGAGGAATAGTTTCTGGACAAAGTTTCATATTTCAGCTTGATCGCCGTATTCTGCCTCGTAGGAGCGCTCGTAGTGCTGCAATAAATCAAATGAAAGAATTAACTGCTCCGTTAAGACCTCAAACTGGGAGGAAAAAAAATCAGCAAATCAAGAAACAGTCACAGTTCGATAATACAAGGCGCATCAAAATTAATGACAAAAGTGTTAGTCACACTGCTTTTTTTTTAGGCTTTTTGAATGCGTAGCAGTCTTGCATGTTTATAATTAAAATAGAGAGATTTTCTAGAATGATGTTGATGGTAGTGTGAATGGTGATGAGAACGATGAAGAAGAAGAAAGATATGATGACACGGATGATTTTGCATTGGCAGAAGACTCTTCGACATCTTCGGATGACGAATTCATGCCTAAATCTGAGTTGAAAAAAAAGAACCGAAAGTAATATCATTATCATTTTAGTTGCATTGCTTGTTGTTACTTTTATTTAAAAAGCTCGAGTATTAAAAATTGTAATTAATTTACAGCTCCAGACGACGTAGAAGGAAAAAAGTAGATGTTGAAAAGGATCCATTTGAGGTTGTTGAATCGGAAGAAGATGATGATAGTGATAATAACCAGGAAAAAGCGAAAAAGGAGCGAAAGAAAGCTACAGATGAAACTTTATGTATGAAATGCAACAAAAGTTCTAATCCAGAAGTGGTAGTTTTTTTAGTTATTTAAAAGCTAAATAACATTAGTTATTACGTTTTTTTGATCTTAGTTTCGAGTAGCATATTTAATTTTAAGTCTAATTTCACTTGTTGCTTGTTTGTATACTCATTTAGTAAAAGGCAGAATTAGATAAATTCCTCAAGATGTCAAATAATTTAAAAATATATTTCTCTTTTAATTCATACATCAAATGAAACAGTTTTGCATTTTGAGGAGTAAAATTCAAGAATATTTTCACTATTTTTCTAATCATAAGTCTGCTAAAGTTATTTTCATTTTTAAGATCAATTTTAGTTATTATTATGCGATTTATGTGATGAAGCTTGGCATACGTGGTGTCTACACCCTATGCTATGGTATGTACCAGACGATGATTGGTTCTGTCCAAATTGCCAACAGGCGATGCTGATCAATAAATTTTCTGATGTTTTAATTACTCTTGAAGAGCAAGTGAAGCAAAAGGCAGCTGATGACAAAAAGTTATATTTTTTAAATTGTTGTTTTTAGCCGGTAAATTATACTGAAATCATAATAAATAAAATTTTAGCTAAAAGAAAAATAAGATATATTTTGTAAAGAGCTCATGTTATCACAGGAAAGAAGCGGAAGCAGAAAGGCTTAAGCGTGAAATGGAGTATATTGGAACGTCATTAAATACCATTGTTGATACGGTATTTTTATTTCTTAAAAGATTTTATCGAGTAAAGCTTCATTTTTAAATGTTATCGTTCATTGGTTAACTGACTATTATATTTCTTTGTAGGTCATTTACAATCTTCTGTAGTAAGCATTTCATGTTGTTGTTGATTTGTTTCCCTATGCTTTATAAATCACTCCATTATAATTTTGTTGAAATAATTTTGGCATTGATAATGAGTACGTAATACCTGAATGCAAATATTCAGATTCCTATAAACATATTCATTATTTTTAGTGAGTCATATTTTAACTTTCAGGTAAAATATGAAGAGGAAAGCTCAGATTTACTAGAAGAATCAGATGAAGGTGGTGGCGAAAGAAAATCAAAGAAGAAAGCTATCAGGTTTACTTTGATAACATCGGAGTTTAGGTAACTTCATGCTTAAAGGTTCTAGATTACATGTTATTTAAGACGTCTTGGTAATTATCCTCAGAAACCAGTTGTTCCGATAGCACTTTCCCGATCAAGACGTCACGTTGCTAAAGTCGATTATAATTTTGGTGCTTACGATGAGTTAATCCAGGTATTTGAATCTCCTTTTTTTTCTTAAAAGGAGGTATCGATCTCATTAACATGATTCAATGTGGAAAAAAATTTTTTACAGGAGGCTGTGAAGAATATTGATGAAGCAGCAGCAAGGCAAATGAGTCCAGGTTGCTTTTATTGTTTTTCCCTTTAAGAAATAATATGTTTTCTGACTAAATCTTTCTGCTTAAAATTGTAGTCACTGTACGATCAAAAAGTGGAGCAGGACGTGGTAAAGATATGTCGAACATTATAAATGCAGGCAAGAAACGAATTCCATCGAATCCAGATGATATTCATGATAACAAAGGTGTTGAAAGGTGACGATTAAATACTAGTATGGATCAATGTTCATATCAAAATCCTTAAAATTGTGTTAAGATAAATAATCATCTATTAACAGTACATTTGTTACTACTTAAAGTTTTAGGAATCGAGGAAAATGTATTAGTAATGAGTAAATGCCATTTGAGACTATCATGTCTTGATCCTGGTCTTTAGATAAGTGCTGAATTTTAAGGATTTTGTTGTCTTGTCCAATCCCATGAAAAAATAAAAGGAATGTTTAAAGATTCGACATATCATTCTACAGGAAAACATTAGTTCAAAATCTGACTTTTGTTTTAGCATAGCAAATATTGGTGCTTTATTTGCATCTTATTTCATTATATCCATATCAGGATGATAGCAAATACTGGAAGATTAACCAAAAGTCGTCATCGGTTGAATGATCTCAATGTGGATGATATGACTGAATCAGATACCGATGAGTACCAGGACAACGAGTGAGTATTTTCTTCTGCTAATTATGGTTAGAAATTATTTTTCTCATGTGTGATGAGATTCTAATTTTTTTCTGGTGCATAATTGTGGCATTACAAAGATGATACAGTAATATATTTTGATGTGCATCAGAAACTGTCTTATTAAAGTTATTTTTTTTAGCAGTGCTTCGGTCTCAGATCCATCAGATGATACGGATGAATATGTACCTTCTGATAATTCTCATACGAAAAGGTTATGCCTTTATCAGTTGTGAAATACTTGAAAGTATTGTGTGCAAAAAATTTATTCGTTCAAAAAGGAATCTATATATGAGTTTAGACCAACTAAGCGAACTTATTCCAATAGACGAACCCAAAGCGACGACGATTTTGTTGTCTCTGGTTCAGAAAGTGAATACGAGCCTTCCAGAAAAAAATCTCAGAAATCTAAGAATGTAAAGGTACGAGGGAGAAGAAAACGTGTAGAATGGTATGCTTAAATAATATTTGTATATGACCATTTAAAAAGGTCTTTTTCTTATCGGATTAGTTTGTATTCATTATTGATACCTGCATGTGTTATGATTTCACAGATTAAGTCACATGTATTGTTCTTCATTTTTTTCGTTTTATTTCGAGGCTGGCTTAACTTTGGTCGTTTAGTACAAATTTAAATAGTATAAAAATTCCTTGCGTCTTCAGCTTTGTGATGCAATATGTTTCGCTGTAATCGATTATTTCATGATGATTTTCAGGTCATCTTCGGATGAAGATTTTACTTCTGAATTAAGCGATAGTTATCAAAGTGGAGAAAGTAGCAGTAATAACGAACGACTAACAAAAAGACGTGCTGTTTCCAAGTGGGCACCCCGCGCAAGTAGCTCGGATGTTGAAGGTTCCATTGATTCAACGCAAAGAACAGCAGCAGGAAGGTAATGAATGCGATTTGTTGGAAGCAGACAATTTGTAGTACTTATTTGAAGATTTAGATGAAATGTAGATGTATATACTTTGAAAGTTTGAAGTTTATTCAAATCTTGCCATTAAATTCTTTTAAAATAAGAAAGAAATAATCGTCAGGCCTCTGAGGCAAGCAGTGGCAAAGCGATCAAGTATGAGTATAGATAATGAAGTAGAAGAGGATGCAGAAAATGATGAGATCGAACAAGAATTGAAAAGGGTTCATCACATTGGCTCGGGGAGAGCAGCTCAAAGGTAAATTATCTAATAAATTGATTGTAAAATTTCTTAAGAGTAATGGGATAGAGCAGTTTTAATTCTTTTCCGTCATGACTTGCTTTGTTAATGCACTTTTCATATTGTGTCGATTTACAGTAACTTTGGTATAGTTTGCTATGTGATTCTATGTACCTCTTCTGTTTAAAGTCTTTTTATTGTCGAATCGGTTCTACTGACCTTAGAGATTGTAGTATGATGTGATTTATTTTTCCAGTTCGGACGAGTTTGAACCTGAAGATGAGGAAGAGGAAGATGATGATGGTGATGATGATGATGATGATGATGATGATGATACTGTAGGTGAAGAAGAAATGGAAAACGACGACGCACATAGTGATGGAGATGAGAAACGAGAACAAAAAGATGAAGAAATGAGATCAGGAAGAATTGTGGTGAAAGAAGAAGTTGGTAGGGCATACATATAGAAATAGATAATGGCGGACGAATTGTGAATATTTAAATGATGCTTGAGATTCGCATTTCTTGGCTTTTTTTTCAGATGATGAAAGTAGGAAGGGTATGACTTATACTACTGAAAATTTATTATCAACTGATTGTATTAAAATGGAAGAAAATTTGGATGTTATGCCTCCGTCAGCATCTGGAAATGTAAGAGTTATAAATGTTTTATATGTTGCACTTCAACTTTTTTATTTGAAAAGCTCCAGTTGTCAGAAAATTGTAGTCGAAATATACTTTGAAGTTTATTAATTTAACTCTAAAACAATGAATATGTGGTGGATCTGGTTGATTAAATGTCGGTTATCATTGTTTTAGGAATTTATATCAAATTCAAATATTGTTTCACAAAGCAGTATTGATGATGTCAAAATTCGAGAAATGAAGCAGAAAACAACAGCTGCACTGGAAGTGAGTTAATTTTTGTTAGCTTTTCAAAGGTTTTTGCTTTATGCAAAGAGTTTGATCATTGCTTCAAAATACGTTATAAAATTTATTGAGATGTCAAATGCTGAGGATATAAAATTAGAAGACAAAAGGATAACAGATGGTAAAATGGAAAAAGTTGAAATGTTGAATGTGGCACCAGCATGCGCAAATGTTACTTCTTTCCTTCCTCCTTCATGGTAAGACTTGAACTACTTATTGGATCATGATCATTAAATAAATAACTCTGTAAATTAACAGATTTTGTCGTTTTTGATCAAAAAATGTCAGATCGTGGCGTGTGTTGGGTTTAGTTGACTTTCTTTAGAATAATTGATTTGTATTCGGAATAGTAAAATGTCATAAACACTTGTCACTTCCTGGTTTTGTTTTAGGAGGTTCATATTAACGATCACTAAATTTTGAAAGTCATAGACAAAACGTTTTGTATGCTGAGATAAAATTCGTCAAAATTGTCTATTGCTTATTGAACTTTTTGCTTGTGGTAGATAAAGTAATCAAGTATTCTGTGGTGAAAAAAAATCATTTGCAGCTTTCCGTCAACTTCTGCAGATGTGTCTTCTTTAAATCCAGCGTCTGTGATGCAACAGATGGCTAGACTCGCGTCATCATCTGTTGCACCAGTGCGACAGTTTGAGTCATCGTGTGTTGCTTATCAGAGTATGTTGCAAACTACATCTCCTCCATTCATATCTAATGGCGATCTACCATTTGTTCATTCTGGTATATTTCGTTACTGACAAATTTATTATGTTTAATGCTCACTTTTGTGTTTTTGGAAAGGGCTGCAACAGGGAAATAATTTTAAACCCTTTTTTGATTGATCTCATTTGACATAAAAATTCATTTTTTCTACTAGAAGAAAATGCGATTACTTTTTTGAATTCCAACTTTCTTTAATTATACTATTTAATAAGTTATTTCAAGATATTAAAATTTTATGCTTTTGTTGCTCTAAATTTTTCAGGTCCGATCTCTGGCACAGCTTATCAACTTAGACAGCCAACGTTTTTAAGGGCTCCGACAACTATGATACAGCCTGGTGTTAATCCACTACTGGCTGGATGGCCTCATTATCCTCCTCCAAATTCCTTTCCTACAAAGTCTTCTCCTATTTTCACAGCCATATTATTCTAAATAATATAATTTATTACTTTTTTGCAATAACTAAATTAATAATCGTTTACTTTTCTTCATTCTTTCAGTATACCACTTCCTCCAGTAGTTACAACGGCAGTTTCATCGTCGACTACGGATTCCGAAACACTTGGTAATGTACTGGCAACAGCAATGGATTATTGATGTATTTAATCACATTTCACTAATATCGGATCAAGTAGTATGATTTTATGTAAACCTTCTCTTTTATTCTTTGTTGGTATTTTTTTTCAAATCTAATTTTCAGATCATTATGAGTTTCTGACGTTATCATGAAATTTTTTTGTGAATTCGCATATTCTTGATGATAAGTAATATTTGTAATATTTCAAGATTTTTGGTTCATCATCCTTCTGGCTCGAGATCAAAATGGGATCTCATCTATGAAACAAAAAATATGCGATATTTCCATATTTTTTTCTATATATATTGTATATTAAATCATTCTCGCGATGTGCTTTAAAATCCTCAAGATTTTTCATTATTTTTCACATCTCTTGATGTAAGTTTCTTAAGAAATGAAAATCTGTAACCTAGGACTTATCAAAATACTAGCGTACCACTTTCATATATGACATTTACAGAAAATAATTTGGCTTTTGACATCATGTAATTTTTCACATCAGTGTTTAACTTTTTGGTTGTACATTTTCGCATTTTGAAAATTTTAATTAAAAAATTTCTTCAGTGCTTTTTTCTTGCTTGATTTTGGAGAATTTTCTGAGATACAATAATTTTTCACTTAAATAGTGACATATTTGTAAAAATTCACTCTTCTAGCAAATTTTTTATAGCAGCTTAGTTGAACTGATTTGTTATTGCAGCATAATGGTGACAATTTTTGATTTAGCGTTCAACGTGTAAGTTTATTTTTGAAATTTTTCATTCACTTTTTGTTGAGGTTCTATTCTTGTATTTTTGCTGCTTCAGTTCACTACCATTTTTGTTGACATACAGATGCTGCAAAAGTATTTGATGAGGATTTCAAAGTCTAAAACACAAGTAACGTAGTTTGCATTATTGCGCCCTAAAATTTGGTTTACTTCACATAAACTATTGTCGTAAAAGGTAATCTGTTCATTCTTTCTGATTGTCCGAAATTTAGCCCATAGGAATTTTTCGGAAATTATAGCTTTTTCCAGATATTTCTGAAGTTGCAAACTTGTGTGGAATACAAAAATTAGAAAAATGTTGAATTTAAGTGAGGTCATATCTACTGTATAATTGTTAACACGTTTGCATTATGCTTTATTAGAGCTTTTATGTTCTTTACTACTTCGGATACTCAAATTTGCTATTTTATGATTTAGGTAATCTTGTTTTGAAAATAAAGTGATTTCCAAATAAATGTTATTAGTGGGCAATAAAATTCTCGTATTGAGTATTTTCTCACCGTACCATATATATAATATTAAATTTGGCATTCTGGATATGTGTGTTGCTGTTGTCACTTTTTCTGATTTTTCTTCCGCATTTCGTATTGAAATAATTCTGTCATATTTGTGATACTTTGTAATTGCAACATATCAGCTAATCTTATCAGTTCATCATCATCTGCAATTTGATTTGCAGGAAAGAAGTCAGAAAAAGAATTATCGCTGTAAGTTTATCACAATTACTGTACTTGCATTCGTTTTCATCTTTATCATACGCTACTTATCATAAACATTATGATCTATCAGGACATAAGTTACACAGAACGTAGCCATTTGCAGAAATTCATGGAGATAATTCATTATAAAAGAGTATTAGCGCATCAAAAATGCATCTTTAATCTTTCAGTGTGTTAAAATGAGCTTAGTTTGTTGCCACTATTTTCAAATTGTGCGAAATGCAAAGCAGCTTATGATGATTTTACTCAGTAAGAATTAGTAGAAGTTCTGAATTGTTGCTGAAATATAAGGATATTCGCGATTCAAGTAAGGTAACGCAGCAAGTACTTGCTTCTGAGGAAGGAGCATCCTTCTTTACTTTGACATTTCGTTTACTTATCATTACTGGTTTTCTTTGTGAGTTATCTATGATTACTAATCACTGTGCATATATCACTAAAATTTTAATAAATCGCGAATTTGATTCTTGCTCTTTAATTTCACGTGTTTGTGAAAAATTCCATAACAAGGTTATGGTAGATTACGAAAGTACTATACCATCTTGCATTGAGGTATAATGAAGAACGAACTATAGCTGTGTTACGTAGTTCTTCTGTTAAATAAAAAGACAGTAACAAAAGTGAAACTAATCAAGGCTCGCTTGTTTGAGTTACAGAGATGTATATCGATAAAGACTGCTTCCATAAATGATAATACTGTGCAATGTTTTTTACGAATTGTCTAGCATTATTAAATTTATATTGAAGGGAGACAGACTTATTAGTGAGCAGATTCTTTATTTCAGTAAACTTTTTAGCTAAGACTCACTTGGCATTCTGGAAATTATGACTAATCATAATTTAATAATTAAGCGGTAATAAAGAATCTGCTCATCAATAAGTCTGTCTTCCTTCAATATAAATTTTATAATGCTAGACAATTAAGCAGTAACCAATACACTGAACAGCGAAGAAAGGTGAGAGAAATGCGTTGAGTAACAATCTTTTCCGTCATAACTTAATGATCCTTCAGCATTTTTATCACAAATCACTTGGAAGTGTGACTTGGAGCAGTGACAGTCTTTCATGCAATGAAGTGTGACTTGGAGCGCAACAAATATAATTATTACAAACTTGCGCATTCTCAATAATTGTTGGTGAATCTCGAATTAAAATTCATTTTTTATCACAAGCATTGCAAAGGAGTGGTAAACAAAAGGGAAATTTTCATTGCATGAAAGACTAAAAACTAAAAGCACAGGCACTAATCTAAAAAACAAAGCCTTCAGCAATAAATTTGTAGTGAAATTATTAAAATGGAGAAAAGTGCTTCCTCGTAGAGATTTACATTCTTCACAATATTAAGATAAGAAAGTAGGCATTTACTGGTAATTGCTCTACTAGAAAAAATTAATATTTTGAAGAAAAATGAGTGCAGGTAGACAGATGTATGTATGTATGTATGTATGTATCTGTCAGAATGAGAAGTTTCAGTAGTCGTCATATGACGTTGGTAAAATATATGAATGATAAAACAGGTTGCTTCTGGCACATAACAATTGAGTAAGTATCAAATTGTATAAACTTTATCCCACCTCAACCAGTTTTTACTACATTTTCACTCACTGCCATAAATGTTATCATACTAGTTTCACTCGTCAATATGTACTTATATATAACAAAAGATATATATATATATATTTCATTTGTTTGCTGCTGATATTACTGCTATGATCAATTATTATTTTTAATAATTCATTATGAACTTTCACCTTTCTTTTCAATTGTTAAAAAGTATTACTGCCACCTGTACTCTTCTACTGTGCATCTGTACTGATACTTTATTTGTTAGCAATACTGTATTCAAAAAAGTATGAAAAAAATTAGTTTTTTCTTTGTTTCATGAAAGTTAAATTTTCTAGCAATTTTGTTTAAAAAGCCATTTATCTTAAATGTAAACAAAATGGCGTTTTTTCCGTGGCACTCGTGACCACACTACTAAACGGCTGTCCTTGACATCACAATCGTTTCTCCTTCACTGCTTCAAATATTCCAACAAGGGATTTTTTGTTTCTGTCATCAGTGCGTTTGTAGAAGTTTTGTTTCTGACAACTTTTGATATTCGTCTTTGTAGCGAAACAGTCTACCACTTACTATCTGAATGTTATTTTATTCTTATTCTTTGAAACAATCTGAGAGCAACAAAGTTAGACAGAATTATTATGTCAGTCACTTCCACATTTGTCCTCTAATCATTTTCAATTTGCAGTACTTTTGATAACTTTTCCAATATGAATTTTTAATACTTTTATTAAATTTTTTACCTTTATAAATATTTTTATTATAATGTAAAAAAGGTTTCCAACTGAAGTGAAACTAAATTTTTATTCAGCAAAGAATTAGTTCTTTCATTTGCAATGTTTTTTGTTGTTTGCGTTTTCAGTTCAACTAGCAGACCACACTTAGCCGTTTAAATTTGATTCTGGAGGAGCGCGAAGATGAGCACACTGGTGGATAGTTAGTTAGTCTCTAACTTGTAGAACTACGCAGTTAAATGGAGTATACTATTAATCCATTTCTTATTTTCTTGTTCGCATGCTTTACTCTTGTTGTCAGTTAGCATAGAGACATTTCGTATCTCAAATGTTCACTGCAGTTTTTTCCATATTTTTCATGCAATAGTGTTTTTTGATCTAAAATTACATCAACAGTTCTATTCTGAACTGTAAAACTTTCAACTGTTTGCAGAAAAAATATCTTTAAAATTAATAGCAGACTTGACCATATTATTATTGAAAGTTTGTGATTATTTATAAGTTCTCAGATATTTTATTTTGCTACAAATTAAATTATTATCTGTATTGAACATCACATAACAGATACCTTTATTGCAGAAATTAACTCTCAACTAATCAATATTGCATATTTTATAACTTACTTTAATTTCTTACATGTGAATTTTCCTAAAAACAATGCAAACGTCCACATTGATGAACAACTCATTTACCCGTATTTGACTATTGTATTGTCTGTTACTTTAATATTGTACGAAACGGAAGGCAAGTGTGATACTGTAAGCTAAAACAAATTTTCGAAAACAAATTGTTTTCAGTGTGTATTACTTTCTCATGAATTCTGAAAAACAACCTATTGACGCAGAAGCTGAAAATGGCAATTATCGTGAGTTATTTATTAAGTTGTCGTTCTCAAATTTTTTATTTGTATTTGATTAAAAATTGTGCGAAATGCAAAAGAGCTGCTAGTTTTGTTGTTCACATCAGGAATTTATTATTAAACTGAATTTATGTTTAAGTTAAAAGTATGTGCTAAATATTCGGTCTAATAATTAATATGCTTTGCTTACTTCACATCAGAATAACTTCCAATTTATAATATATATCAACGAAACATTTTAGGTTAATTTGGTTGATTAAAATTAATCACTTTAATAAACAAATGATTTGAAAATTTGGGCAAATCACTTAGAAATGATGAAAACACTTCATATAACTTCATTAAACCATATCTCAGATTACCATACCAATAATACCATATCAAGTCCGAATTATTTTTTAATACAAACTGTGTATTACATTGCATAATTATAATTTAAGGTGTACTGGTCACTGGTGCCACAGGTTATTTGGCAATTCATTGTATTAAGCAGCTACTAGAAGAAGGATACAAGGTTCGTGGCACTGTTCGAGATTTGAACGCCAACGAGAAAATCAGCCCGTTACAAAAATTGGCAAACAGCGATAATTTAGAGCTTATTCGGATGGCTCTAGAAGATGAACCTGACCGATGGGAAAAGTAGTTATTTCTGATTAATGTCTTCAATTATGGTACAAATTAAATCTCAGAAAGCACTAAGTAATTACTTCACTTTTTGTGATATTTTTGCAGTTTCTAAAAACTGAAGTTAAGTGAAAATAAATTTACCAAGAAAAGATTTTTTTCTCCTCAATGATTTATTTTAGAGCAGCTCGAGGTTGTACGTATGTCCTGCATATAGCAAGCCCGTGTTCAATAAAACCAGATAGAAAAATAATTCAAACTGCTGTTTCTGGTGTTATAAATGTACTTCGCGGCGTTGCTCAAGCACAGTGTGTACAAAAAGTTGTGATCACTAGTTCATCTGGTGCAATTAATGTTAAGTTCAATTTTTATGATGCGCCAAATCAGCTGAAAGTAATCACTTATCGATGCATCAATTCAAATTTTTACTTCAGAGATTGGTCTAAACTTACTAAATGCATTGGTATTCCACTAAAAAAGAAGATAATTTGTGCTTAATTATTTTGATTATTGCCAGTACTTTTGTTTTTAGTAGGTCATAAAAATAAAACCAAAGTATTTATGGAAGAAGACTGGACAAATCTAAAGTGGAAATATCTTCATCCTTATCACAAGAGCAAAACGTTAGCTGAACAAACAGCTTGGAAGTTTATGAGGGAAAATCCAGGTATTACATTCTTCACTGCCCTGTACAACTGAATCCATTTCCAAAATTAAGTAAGATGCGCGCTTTATTTCATGCTAAGTTTATACAAAACACTGAATTACAGTGTTATAAAATAAAACTTTTTGCAATTTCATCTTAATTTTGCGATTACTTATTTTGGTAAAAACTGAATGAATATTTAGCAAATTTTTTTGCTGCAAATATTTTTCGAGCAGTGATAATTCTGTATGTTTTTCTTCCAGATGTTTCGTTTTCACTAACAGTTCTCAATCCTACTTTATTAGTTGGACCATTGTTACAGAATACCAAAGGAGCGAGCACGACGGTTCGTACTTTTTCAAATATTAAAATTAGATTAATCTAGCATAATCAATTGTCCATGCAACTGTTTCTATATACAACGAGCAGTAACTTATCACACACGTTTGCATGTAATTTCTAATGCACACTCTATATTATACAGTGGATGAAAGCTAGTACGATATTTTGCTGCATATACTTTATTTTATCAAGCATTAATGAGTTATGTTAGTAGCTTATCACAGCAACTACCAATTATAGGTATTTGTTTACATTCAGACATCTCATACATGAATTATATTCTAATTCGAAAATTAAAACCATTCATATGCTTTCCTTAATATTGAACACTACATTATATATTGCATACATGCTAATAACATCTTCAAAATATACAATTTCTTACCGGTAAAGTAGACTAGAATAATTTGTAGATTATAAGTCGATTTGTTGATGGTTCTATGGCAGCATATCCACAAATGGCACTTGGTTTAGTTGACGTACGTGACGCTGCTTATGCACATATTTTGGCAATGAAAGAAGGACGAAGTAACGGACAACGAATTTTAATAACAGCTGAAACGCTTTCTTTTGCGGAAATAGCTCACATCTTGAGAAAAGAATTTGCTGGCCAAGGTAAGGAAGGCATTTTTTCTGACTAAAAATACAAGAAAGATGCATGATGCGCTGTTTCTCGTGCGTTGTTTCCTAAATTAAATTAGCATTAAATACTAATTTGATCTTATCAAAGGGTCGAATAATTCTTGATCTAAATGGAATATCGTTTGACCTTGACCATTACCACAGAAATATAATAATAACTAATCCAAGTACAAAAAGTGTCCTTAAGACAATTTCACAGCTCTTTTGCAGCTATCAACAGTTCATGCATTTGTGTGAGTTGTGAAAGAAAATACAGTTCTGAATTTTATTCAGTTCTTTTGATTATAAACGGATTAGTTTCATTCGATACAGAACTCATTGAAACAGATAGCATTCAAATTGAGTCAGAAAAGAATACAGTCTTAGTTTTAGTTCTTGAAGGAAGGAGATAATTCCGTAAGAAACTTCCATAACTAACTCAAGAAATAGCACCAAAGAACCCCGAATTTTAATTAAAAAATACAAGCATACCACTGCGAAGTCCACTTTTTTAAACACATTCGCATAATATTTTATTTAAATATTCAAACAGAGTTGTACAGTACAAGTTGACGCAGTGTGATAATAGTTTCAAGCTTTTTCATATTCTCGTTTATTATTTTTATAACGCACTATAAGATAGCAGAAATAACTGTGTGAACGCTGTTTTCTAGGTTACAGCATTCCACGATTCAAAGCTCCTTATCTTTTGTTATGGCTGTATGCTTGGTTGGATTCTGATGCTCTAGAAGCTCTACCACTATATGGCCATGTGGACAATTTTGATAACTCAAAAGTAAACCTTTTCTGATACAGTACTGAAGGTTTTTTAATACCCCAACAATCATATTTCTGAATTAACTCTATGTAAATATGAACTGCGGAAATAATTGCTTTACATTTTTGACAAACATGTTATGATTTAAGTATTTATATTTGCGGATTTCATGCCATTAATTAGGAGTAAACAAATTTAGGGTTGTCAAATGTTGAATATATCATATCGCAAGATTGAAAAATCTTTGATTGAAATGGTCAACAACATGATTGAACGGGGCATGATCCCTCAAAAGAAGCAGTATTTGGAAGAAAAGAAACGGGCTGACCTAGTCAGAAAAAAGTCAAATACAATGTATCCTGATCGAGTAGCTATTGTCATGTAATAGTCAAGAACAGGTCATTCTGCTACCATTCTGCCATTATTTGATGTCATATAATACTGATATGAAATTTATTACTTCAAAGTACGTAAGTAACGAACGATTGAATATTTAACAGCTAATCCTTTGCCATTTTTCCATATCACTGATACTGCAGAGTAAATTTCCGCAATTTCCGTCTTCCATCTTCATATATAATTGAAAGTTGACGACTATGTTATGTATATTGCAGTAAAATACTATCAGTAACAGTATCTTCGTTAAATTTGCTTATGTGGCAAGCATCACCATTCTGAATCGCAAGCCTGTTTTATATATTCTACTCCTTTATCTTTTAAAATTACGATTATGAACTCTTTTGATTGTTGTCAAGTTCTTAATTGAAATCGCAGCGTGTAATTTGCATCCAATGAAATCAATCTGTGTTGATTAAGTAAATAATTATTACAATATTTAAATTTGTAGCCAAACTTTCAAATGAAGAAATCTTATTTTCAAGATGCAAACGTTATTGTATTTCACTGAGAATATCTCATAATTTACAAAAATGTTTCATAATAATCTTCAGTTTTGCTGTTTTCAAAAATACTCTTATCCCGTTAGCATTATCATTGTTTCTGAAAATTTCATGCAGTCATTCGGTTGCTCACTTTTTATATGAGTAAGAAAGTTGAATCCTCTAAGGACTAGTTACATTAGTATTCTGTATTTGAGAAGCTTCTCTCAATTTGAACTTCAGCATTTATACATCGACAAAACGCAGTTTGCTTTCAGAGCTTGCTGAGGATCTTGTACGAAGTCTCAATTTGTACAAAGTTTCAGTACTTGCTCACGAAGCCATATTAGACAGCACGATATTTTAATCATTTACTTATCAGTACCCAAACTTTTTCGCTCTGGTGCATTTCAAACTTATTGATTAGCCTGCAGGAATTAATTTTTGAAGACTTATTCATTTTTGATCGCTAATTACTATCGTTGTTTTTGATCATTTACAATTATCAATTATCAATCATAGATTCTGTAAACAAAGACATGAAGTTGATCTGTAAAAACAAAAAAACCTATTCCTTCCTTGTTCTGTTTAATTTGTAAAGGATTAAAATGCCTGGTAAACACTAAGAAGTATTTTTTGCCATATCAGTAAACAATGTATATGTACAGTGATGTTTTACTGGAAAAAGACAGAAACAAATTAGTATTATAATACAGTTTGACTGGAATTCATTGCAGTTGATAATTAAATGATCAGTTAGTCATTCATGCATGAACATGCTGATTGCAATTTTTTAATCAAACAATTGTAGTTTGATCAGCCTCCTAGATTTTGGGGAGGAGGAAAAAAAGGAAGATTAAGCTGACCTAATGATGGAAATGTTGGGAACTGTGAAGATTGTGTTTGCAAAGGTTGCAGAAGTGATTGCTGAGATGGTGGTGATGGCAGTGGGAAATTCAGTCCAGAAGATTGCTGTAATAGCATAGGTTGCGGCTGAGGTATCGCTCGAGGTTGATGTCCAGTATAATCGATCCCTTGCTGAGGTGCTTCGTGAGGCTGATTCCCAGTATTATCAACTGCTTGCTTAAGTACCGATGATGGATTGTTCGCTTGTGGGCCAGTACTAAGATCAAGTGTGCCATATGACTGCTGCGTAGGATTCAGAGAGAAACCACTTAACGGTAGAATCGGTAGAGAAGGAAGAAGTGGTAAAGTTGATTGCATCTGCGACAGCTGCACGAAGGTTGTATTATTTTGAGGCGCTGATGCCATAACATTTGATGGTGAAATGGCACCAAATAATGGAAGGAGCAGTTGTGAATTGCTATTGACGCTTCCTAAATTTGCATGATTTCATAAGTTATGATATTATCGAAAAACCTTGATATTATTGCTCACAAACTCCATGGAAATAATAAGTTAATCAGTTACCAAAAAGTGGTGCGCGTGACGAATCCACTGTACCATTTGATATCGTATACTATAACAATTAGAAAATTTACATATGCCAAGCATTTATTCCTTGCTCAGTTACACCTATTCTTTCCATGAACTCATTATGTAGTACTAATTAACTTGCCTTAAACTATTAGTATGATCTGTTTTTTGCCTGCATTGTGGCTAAAATGATTATAAAATCATTATTCAAATTAAGCAAGTTTTTTGTGAAATTCTAAACCTGTTGCTCACTTGATACTTTTGGTTCATTTTGTACTTCATTTGTTGACATTTTGCTTAAAATGAACGATTGCGCATTTCCTTCTACTACAAAAGATTATTCGAAAAATGTGAGGAAGAATACAATTAATTATATTCCGCAGCAATATCTACTGGTTATTTATCTGCGCGAAGTCAACTTAAGCACTAAAAATTTCTGCACTTCCAGTAAGTATGATCATTAATTTTATTTTAAATGCCTTGAATCAGCGCACGTATGATAGATATCACACTTATATTTGCAGTGATCAATTGTGAAGTAAAAAATTAAACTTAAGTGTGATTGAAAAAGTTTATTGGTACATACCTTGTAGGTCAGGTTTTGTTGGATAGGGTACGCATCTAAATCGTCTCATTGTTACAGCATATATTACACTAAAATATTTTTATTACTGATTGTTCATCACTGTATTATCATTTACTCATCATCGATAATGTAATCTAACTATCGTATAACTTTGTAGCGGATTTTTATAAGACAATGCTGAATTAATTTTTTGAACTTTCCGTGCTCTGTTTTTAATCTAATCAATTTTGATAGAGTGATAACTTGATTTTATAGTCATATTAATAATGCGCACTTCTGATTATTTGTTGCAAAGCATTTCAATAATATTTAGTTTCCGCGATTTCGTTCTCTTTTCAAGTAGCACAAGGCTTTTTTTCGAGCTACTACAATTTTAACTTTTGCGTAAAAATAAGCTCATAATATCATTTACAACAAAAAATTGTTACATCTTGTTGTTGTTGACTATTTTTTTGATGTTCGCTATGTAATCGAAAGCATATTGTCGTTCGCCATTCATGACCTCACCTCCGACAACGATCTGCCCCGGGGCCACATCAGCGACTCCTCGTTCCCATGAATCCTTCAACTTGTCAAATGTGCAACACTGTAAGAGCAGCCTGAAACTTTTCACAAATTCATCATTTTTTGCGGTAAAATTCAAGATGAAATATAATAATTTCACATATTTGAAATAATTTCAAAGAATTCAGTTTCAGAGCAGTTTTGTTTTAAGCTATTCAAAAAAATACAATAGCAGTTTTGATTTTTTTTTCAACTGTCTGAATAAATAATTGAAAGCAATTTTTACTTAAGAAATCAGATTCACCGTTGTGTGGTAGCATTAATAAGAGGTGAGATCCCTCCAACCCATTGTGTATATTCATTACATGAAGGACTGGTATAAGCTTTTTCGCATACCTCAAGTAAAATTCGTAAAAACCTTGAAATAAAATTACTTTTTGAGATGACGAATCAAAATTTATTTCATATGATTGAACTTAGTTGTTACATTTTCAAATCAAATGGGTATTCACTGAATACAGTTACTACCACTGGCTAAGTTTCAATCTCTTATATCTGGTTTCTTAAAAAATTATATTCATTCAGATCTCTTCAGCCCAGTTATGAATTCTTTCCAACTAAACAAATTTACACAATTTTCAACATAGTTTAAATAAATAAATAAATAGCACTGAAAAACTAGAAGAAAAATCTTCACGTGTGTTCTGCGATGCAAGCTGTATTCTATTATTTACTTTTACGAGAAAAACAATATCATCACTCAAAATAAAACAAACGGCGAGCTGTGATTGATGCGCGGTAACTTTCACTTTTTCGTACTTTTTCAAATCGGCTTTGCGCATGAAACCATCATTTCTTTTGTTTATGCTGCAGATGTAATTGCTTGCCACAGAATTTAAATTTAGTACGAAATTGTGTAATAAGCAAAATAACGTAATGAAACACGGAAAATACTTGAAATGATTAACGAACCGATAGAATCGCGCACCTTTATCAGTTCTGTGACCCCAACCAAAGCAGTTAGGTCTTGCGCAGCCAAGCACTGGTTGTCCACTTGACAGTGCCTAATGTCATTAGCTATTAAAAATGAAATTGTTAGCAACTGAGTATTATTAAAGCAATATTAATGAGTTAAACATTAATTACGAGCTATTTATTATTAATACAACTGGAAAATAAGAATCTGTTAAAATTCTCTCTTGGGAAGATAGCGACAAATTTTATTCATTCCTTGGGTAAAAAATTAATAAACTGAAAATGCTTTTTTACTTCCAATCAATCTATTAATGGAAGAGTAGAGATTGGAATGAACTTGATAAAAACTGGCGCTGACAAATAACTCAGAAGTTAAAGTTAATCTATTTTGGTCATAATATGGCGCGAAAACTTCATTCTTTTTGGAAAGGTTAACATTAATATGAGTAATTGAATAGTACGCAAATATATTTGAGTGATTTTCTCATAATGGCTTCAAAAATAGAGTTAATTGAGCAAATTAGCAAGTGCAGTTTAAGTAAACTCCTTACAGCATTAAATAAAAAAGTAGTTGAGGATAAATTTGCTGTAATTTGCTGAACTTTTGAGTGACAAATCACTAAGTAATATTCCTCTTTACTATTTAACTTCAACAAATGACCAACAGTTATGTTATCAAATTCAAAGTTGAGAAATTATCTTCCAAATTAGTTGACCTGTAAGCTGAAAGGAATTCCGTCTTCACCACAATATGAAGAAATAGTCAATTGAACTTGTAATACTAGTAGAAGAACTTGTAGCAGTAATGTAGTCATTAGAACGGTTGGAGTGATTAGATAAAATTTAGATTTAGAACTGTGCCTTTTTTCTAAAATATTGCACAGGTCGGAGACAACGACCGATTAGAAGAGATTTGACAAATAATATCAAAAAGATTGGGTCAAATTTGAAATTGGAATCGGGTTGAGGTCAATTAGGTCGATATGTCATCAGTGACCGATTTTTAATTCCAAATTTATTTACTGCTGAATTTAAGTTATCAGATCGCTTAAAAATTCGATATGAAGTCAGTTAGTTTTATTAATAACATTAAATTTGTGAATGATATTAAAGTAAAATGTAAAATTCAAAATTACCAATTTTATTTTTAACTTTTGGAAAACGGAAAACCCAAATAGTCATAAGATTTGAAAAAGAACCTCTACTTATTCAAAATTTAAGCAATCTTGGTTGATTATTTTCAAACTTATACTTTTTCAATCACAAGAGTAATGTCAATTCAAAAAAACTATCTTAATATTAAATATTAGCGAAAATTAAAAAGATAGAACAAACTAACATATTTAGCTATAAATAGCCTACTTTTCTGAGCTCTTCTGAAGTTCTGTCATTCTGCGTACAAGCTAATTTAAGTTTTTATTGAAACAAAATTCGATTACTTCAATATTTCAAATTTAATATAGAAAATTTTTAATTTCAATATAAAAGAACAAATATGATAGATTTTGAGATCTACAGAAACAAATAAATTTTAATTATTCAAATTTTCAAATCTTCTGCAACCAGTCACTGAATTACTAAATGTTTGGCTAATCCATTTTTTGTTGCTGCGCGACCTATTAAAAGTTATTCATCGCACATTAAAATGCCACTAAAAATTATTTGCCTCACATTAAAATGCTATTAATTAGTACTGATAGAATTTCAAATGATAAATTTGAAGAGACATTTCAAATTTGAACAAATTGGAACTGTAATTTGGAAAAAGCTTTCTAATGCCCAAGATTTTTTAAATTTATTCATTTTTTATTGTCTTAAATTTGGCAGACAGTAAAGTATTGGTAAAGGGAAAGAAAAATTGTTCGAGTGGTTTTCTTGCTTTTTTTTCAAAAAAATTTCCGTTGCATTTTGAATCATTGATGAAGAAGTAATGAAGTTATACTTTTGTTGCAGCAGTAACTTACTAATTGAATTTATATAAAAATACGACTTTGATCAAGTAAATTGCATAGCAGAGACCGCGCAGCATAACTGATTCAGTATTTGGCAGTTCGATTATAACAGAACGTTCGTTACAGTTTTCAATATTTTTCTGTTGAAAAAACATTCGAAACTGTAGTAAGCCTAAAACTGTGATAAACTTTGTGTTGTATAACACAACTGATCTCAGATTAGAACAGAAATTTTACTCTGATTTGATAATTTTGTGCTAAAAATGCAGTTCAAAATAATACTTGGTTGCAATTTTTTTGCATAAGACTATTTTTGCAACAAACTTTGCCAGTAGTACACTTAAGACTTTTTACTAACTTTTACATTCATTGTTTTACAATAAATGGTTGTGTGAGGCGGCGTTTACATTTGCTTAGTTGAATTTTCGAGGCTTATGATAAATCGTTGTGGATAAGCTCTTTTTAATACGGTTGCACAATTTGCTAGTAAAAAACTTCACGCATAGTTTAGTAAAGAAATTGTACAAAAACAGCGCTTCACGCTTATCCAGCACTCATCTAATGTCGGATTCACAATGACTTTCAACAAAGAAAATAGTATTCTTCAAATATTACCTTACAAATTTTTATAATTTCATTTAGTACACTATCATAAAGTTATTGCCACATTTGTGCACAAATTTTAATTATATATAAATTAAAAGAAAGTAACAAATGATATATCTTTCGATGGTTTATTAAATTTTTGTTCCTCAGAAAGACACAGTACTAATTGTACTACGTAATAACAATGATAGTGATGATAAATGAGCAACTAATGGGTTTATTTGAAATCTGAATCCCATACTAAAATGGATAACTAACTTGGAAGTTTAATTAAAGGTGAGGATGGCAGACTAGCGAACTTAAAAAATCAAACCTGCAAGTCTAATGGAAAACAACATCGTTTCACTCTAGAAGACAAGGACGAGACAGAAGACTGTCAAACGATTACGCCAAATACGTCATTTTCAGCCTGTTTACGTAGTAATCACCAGAACACAGCAGATGGCAATGCTGACAATTGTGATAGCAACAATCAGTATGAATATAATGACCAAGAACGGATGGAGGAAGATAGTTTTAAGAATTTGGAAGTTAGCTATAAAGTTTGCATAAATTGTTGGCTCATTTCAAAAGCATATTTGATAGAATAAAATAATTTCCATGCAGACTTCGATTTGCGAATTTGAGTATTTGTAACTGAATTTTCGGACTATTTGATGGCGATATTACTAACTGTACTTTAAAACTTAAGAATTTGCAAAAACTTCACTTAAATTTCACTTTAATGGTTGAAAGATTAAATGAAATTACTTACTTATTGCTCGAGTTGTTAGGAAAACTTTTTAGGTACGAATGGGTGAACGGTTGACTGATGATATAATTGATGTATATTGTGATAAGCTGCAAAAAAGTATTAACAACGAAGTCGATGGCATGCTAGCCATGCAATATATTTCAGTTGGTTTAAGTATTGGATCATTTTTTTGGTGTATTTTTTGAATAT